GCCATGGACTGAGGAGCGCAGGGCCGGTGCCTCTGTGGCCAGCTGCTTCCGGGGCACCCACACTTCAGCACCAGACATGGGCCTTGGACATCACGTCCTCTCACCTTCTTTATTTCGGTCTCGTTGGCTTCACACCCGAAAGCTGGTGCTTCCTAGGTTTTTTGGAAAGAAGGAAAGCATGTATGAGGGCAGAAGGGCAAAGAATAAAGCACATTTTGAGCCAAGTTGCTACTTTTAAGAGTTCATATACTAATATATTTTGATAAATTATATCATTAGTCAAAAATGATTGGATTCTTGTAAAAAAAAAAAAAAGCAGTGGATGGGCTTGCGGCTCAATTTTTTGTTATTTTTAATTTGTAAATTTCTGCACCCAGCTTTAGTTTAGAACAGGATCCTTTCTGAATGACTTCCAGGGAATCACTACTAAGAATTTCTTGGGCAAAAAGAATGGATAAGATGCTGGGATGAACGCTGTTTGGGCTAAGCGAAATATGAGACATCCTTATCTTCGCTTTCCAGAAGCTTCTAATCCAGCTGAGGCGATAAGGCTGAAAAATAACTAACACAAGATAGCAATCCCGTCTAGCGGGCATTGCTGAGAAATATCACCATGGCAGGAGGCCATTTTAAGTTACACGGATCAGGAACAGCTGTAGGCAGAAAGTGGGATGTGACTGGATGGGGTTGGTGAAGGATGAGCAAACATGGGACAGGCGAGGGGTACGTGAGGTTTGGCACCAATGAGGTTTGGGCAACCAGTTGTGTTGATACAGAAAGGTTCATGCCTGGGGGAGTCCCTGGCTGAGGAGGGTCTGGGCTGTCTGACCGTCAGCAGGAAACCACTGAGGGTGCGAGAAGTGGGGAAACCACTGAAAGTGGCCCATGGAGAGCGTAGAGCAGGGAGAGCGGATAGGAGGCTGGCAGACCTGCAGAACTAAGGCAGCAGGAAGGGCTGCCCCCCAGGGGAGGGTGTGGGTGGGGTGACATCTTGCCTGTCCAGGCAGACGAGGGAGGAATGGGTGATACGCCGAGATCCTGCTGGGGGAAAAAGTGCAGCAGGCGACAGGGGGAGATGACAGGGAGAGGCGTGAGGCTGCTGTGTCCAATGGGTTTCCCAGGGGAAGAAGAGAAAGGCTCCCAATACTGAGTGGCTTGTCTGAGTGAGCTGCGTGGAGGTGATGACTGAAGCATTCAGATAGAGGGACTGTTGATGAGATTACCTGTGCACAGCCAGGGGGACTCTTGGTTCCCAGCTGTCCCTGGTGTTGTTGGGAAGCTGCTGGGTGGCTCTGTGTGTCCCACTGTGCAGGGCCGGGCCCCGGGGGTTTGGGAAGTTCCATAGTGAGGTGGACAGCTGGCCACCTATTCTCTCATCCTATTCTCTCATCCTAGTCTTAAAATTCATCCCTCCAGAGGCACAAGCTTCACCCCTGCCCCTGGGGTGGGGTCAGGGGGGCCAGGCAGCGAGTAACCCCCATCATATTTCTGGCCAAGCAAGTGGTTCAGGAATGAGCACTGAACTCAACTTAGGACTTGGGTTGAGCCATGTGGAAAGCAAACTCTCTGGGTCTTTCCCACTGGACTTGAACCGAGAGAATGTGGGGCTGAAGCAACTACAGGCACCAAGCCCCATGTGGATGCTGCCAATCAAGTTGGCCTGGCTGGGAGCAAAAATTTGTCATAGTAATCCTATCTAATAAAAGAGAAACATGGTAATTAGCATACATCCGCTACCCTTCCCATTGGCTAATCCCATTGGCTAATTCCCATTGGCTAATCCCATTGGCTAGGGCGATATGCAAATTAACTGCCAGCCAAGATGGCAGCCGGCAGTCAGGCAGCTTGAAACTAACATGAGGCTTGCTTGCTTCAGTGAAGGAGGAAACCAACGTTCCCCGCTTGCCTTGCCGGCCTCTGAGCTTGCAGTTTGAAACATTGTTACAAATATAGAAGCTAAACAAAACCCCAGAAACCTGCTTTCAGCCCGCCGGGATCTCAGAGCTGGAGTTGATACAGTGTTTCGATTATAGAACCCAAACAAACCAGATGCCTGCTTTCAGCAGCAGAGGCCTCAGAGCTGGAGCCAGAGCTAAAGCTGGCCCAGAATAAAAAGAAAAAAGAAAAAAAGGAGCAGTTGGGAGCTTCAGTCACCTGCCAGCCTGAAAACAGCCCTCAGCCCCTCACCCAGACTGGCCAGGCACCCCAGTGGGGACCCCCACCCTGAAGGGTGTGTGACCAGCTGCAAACAGCCATCAGCCCCTCACCCAGGCTGGCCAGGCACCCCAGTGGGGACCCCCACCCTGATCCAGGACACCCTTCAGGGCAAACCAGCCGGCCCCCACCCGTGCACCAGGCCTCTAATCTATATAGTAAAAGGGTAATATGCCTCCCAGCACTGGGATCAGAGGAGCCGCGAGGCCTCCCAGCACTGGGATCATTGTGACAGGGGGCAGCGTCCAAACCCCCTGGTCGCCCTGCGGCTCTCTGTGTGACAGGGTGCGGCGCCCAAACCCCCCCCCCCCCCACAGGCCCTGCTCTGTGTGTCACGGGGTAGAGCCATAACCTCCCCATTGGCCCTGCCCTGAGTGTGACAGTGGCAGCGCCCCAACCCCCTGATCAGCCCTGCTCTGTGGGTGATAGAGGGTGGCGCCCCAACCCCCTGATCCGCCCTGCTCTGTGCGTGAAAGGGGGTGGCGCCGCAACCTCCCCATCGACCCTGCCTTGAGTGTGACAGGGGGCGGTGCCCCAACCCCCCAATCGGCCCTACCTTGAGCGTGACTGAGGGTGGCATCGCAACCTCCCAATCAGCCCTGCACTGTGCATGACAGGGGGCGGCGCCCCAACTCCCCAATCAGCCCTGCTCTGAGCCCGACCAGGGGCTGCACCTAGGGATTGGTCCTGCCCTCTGCCACCCGGGAGCAGGTCTAAGCCAGCAGGTCGTTATCTCCCGAGGTGTCCCAGACTGTGAGAGGGCACAGGCCGGGCTGAGGGACCCCCCTCTCCCCCCCGAGTGCACAAATTTTTGTGCACCGGGCCTCTAGTCTATACTAATAAAAGGGTAATATGCTAATTAGGCCGATAGACCAGGCATCTTTTGGACGTCTTTTCAGATGTCCTTCCTGACAAAGCCAGGGGCGTGGCTGGCCTGCAAACACCCGAGGCACCTCGCCCAGGCAGGCCCTACCCCCCAGCAGGAACCCCCATCCCGATCAGGAGCGTGGCAGGCCTGCAAACCCTCGGCGGCCCTTAGCCCAGGCCAGTCTTGCCCCCCAGCAGGGACCCCAATCCTGATCGGGGGGTCTGACCTTCAGACTCCTGAGGGCCCCTCGCCCAGGCCGGCCCCGTGCCCAGCAGGGACCCCCACCCTGATCCAGGGCCTTCTCCAGGGCAGGCCAGTTGGCCCCCACCTGTTCACCAAGCCTCTATCCTATATAATAAAAGGATAATATGCAAATTGACCCTAACAGCAGAACAAACCAGAACAACCACTGGACCAGTCATAATGAGGCTCACTGCCCACCTCTTGGTCCCTTTCCCTGGCCATCAGGAACCGATCACCCGATGGTGAACGGGAAACGGGGTGGGTGGCGACGGGGGGTGGGACCAGCTGTGGGCAGGTGGGGAAGATGGCCATGATCGCAGGCCAGGCCTAGGGACCGTACCCACACACGAATTTCATGCGCCGGGCCTCTATTTTACTTTAAAAAGGTTTCTGCGTGAGGAGTGTGTTGTCTGTGTGTAAATGCCGTCTGTGCATGTCGCAGGGCTTCCTAACTGGCCTTTGAAGTCCTTGCATCAGAAACCCACCCACCACAGGGAGCTGCATAAGCCCCGTGTGTAACTCATCAGTGAACTGAGTCAAGTGGAAGAACATGAGGGGCTAGGAGACGGCCATCGATGAGCCAGTTCCTGACAGGGCTCTAGAGGCCTGTGCTCTTGCGCCCCACATGGAGCCTCTTTCCCAGAGGATGGCACTGTGGGTTCCCCGCAGGGGACTCCTTCAAGCCGAGTGCTTGTTGCACAACCAGGAGCCAGTGAAGCCTTGCAGAGCTTAGAAGTAGGTTCTGTGGGGGAGGAAAATAATTGTCCTGCTGCCCTTCTGAGTTCTTGGCTGAGGCCCCGTAATAAACAAGATTAACAAGAGAAAACAAACAAAAGTCTACTAATATGTGTCCCTCGTTATACATGGGAGAAACCCAGGAAAAAACTACTCCCCAAGGTGACTTCAAATTGAGGATTAGATAGGAAAAGGGGAGGGGGAGTAGAACTCTTAGGGGAGAGTGACTTTTAGGAAAGGTGAATGGGCCCTTGGGAGGGATGGAAGTATGAGTCTGGGTGTGGGGTCGGCTTCTGGTGACAAGAGGCAGTCTTCCCTGGTTGACGACACTCCGTGGAGGGGATTTATGGGAATAAAATTCCTTGTGGAGGATCACCTTAAGGCAGAGAAGGGAAGTTCAAAGAAAGCCTCTCCCTGCACCTGCTGTTTCAAATGCCCTGCTCAGAATAATATACCAGAGCAGCATGCTTTGGGGTGCTGTGTCCTGAATGCCTACTGACACATTTTGGGGCGGCATATTCTGCTACCCTTCAGTTCCATGATTTCTGTGCATGTATCTGTTTGCTTAGTACATTTTTTACATTTTCCAGGTTTGGGTCTAAGATTGGCTTCATAGGAAAACCCCGATAGTAGGAGGTGGGGCAAGTAGGAGTCCCATTTACCTCTTTCAGCTGTTGGTTCTGGTATTAGCATAGAACCCAAACCTGCCCTCAGGGATGAACTGAGAGAGGGAAGACAGTCCCTAATCCTGAATTCAACTGTGGCCTCTGGACTCCCAGTTAGGGAGGCAATATATTCCCTTCTTGCTTCGTCATTTTTAAACAGCTTTGAAAGGGGTGACTAGTCTTTCTTGACTATTACATATTACAAGACTAGAGCAACGTGTAGAAACAAAGTAGAACCCTGTCTTTACTGCAGAAATGGAAACATAGCCCACGTGTAAACTCTAATTCACTCTGATTTATTCTGAGGTTTACATTACAGGTAACACAACTCACAAACATACCAGTGGACACTGAAAACTAAGGCCTTCTGTGAGTTATTTTTAAAACTTGGTGTTTTGCACATAATGATCCTTTAAAAAATAAATTACCAAAACCAAGACTCTCTTCTGAAATAAAGATTTAAGGTCGGTACAAGACACCTTCTGGGCCACATCTAACCTGAAGCGCACCCTGTGACGAGACCATGCATGTTCTCTATGGCAAATACTAGTTCCCAGGCACCCGGGAACTAGTATGCCATGCTAGTTCCGGCTCTTCTCCTGGTGGCATCCAGAGTTGTGTTTACCATGGTGCCCGGTGGCTAATGAACCACTCCCACTGAGTAGCGAAGAGACCTAAGAAACACCTTGTGAAATTCTTGGAACAAGAAAAAGAAAGGGACCTATAACTAAGGCACTGAGAGCACATTATTTATATAAAGAAATGTAAACAATTGAATACCAGCAGGCACCTCCCTCTCCCCACCTTCAGAGTCTCTTGTGAAAGTGCCGGGGCATGAGGTGGGGCCAGCGCTCAAGTCCTTTCGGCAGCGTCCAGTCCCGGCTCCCAGGTGACTCAAGTGTACGTTATTATTTCCCCCTAATCTGTGTGTAATAGTATTACACACAAGGAGGGTTTTATTAGTTTTAAATTACGGGCTCTAACACTTATTTTTCTTCTAACCTTTTACCGTGTTCTTCCGCTGAATCTCACAATTCCTTTAGCTGTTTCGGGAAAGGTTTCTGGTGGAGGAACCCGGGTGCCTTCCTCCTGGGCTTTCGTTTCCAGTGGAACGTTCACAGCCTCTATAAACCACACGCACGTTACTGAAAGCGTATCCGGGTGGTAGTGATTTAACAGCTGGACACACAGCACGGTAAATACTTCAAAGGCCAACGAGCTCACCTGCAAAGGCCTGACAGGGCGATGAGTGGGTGCCAGCAGCTGCTCTGAGTCCACAGAGACGATGTGGGAAGGTGTGCAGGGGTCCTTCCTGAGGCCACCACAACACAGAATCTAAATTCATTTCTACTTGACATTTCCTTGCCAACTTCAGATGGCTCTAAGTTCCAAATCAGAAACCGTTTAGCTCTTTAATTTCTTTAAGTGAGAGAAAATACAAGTGTGTTGGAAAATAAGCAATTTTTTTTTTTCTGAAGTAGGGTCTCTATACCTCAGTTTTAGCGCTTATGAATATGGGGCAGGTTAAAAAAGTTTGCATTTTATCTTAAACGTGTTATTTTTATGAGAAAAAAACATTTTTAACAGAAAGGAAAGGATTTCCCTTCCACCAGTGCAGCGTTAAGGAGGACATGCCCTGGGAGCAGTGAGCGGTGAGGTTGGAAGAGGGGCTGCAGTGTGAGCACCTCGCCATCCTGATTGTTAAGACTAGTTGTGTGTTTCCAAATATAACCAAAGGAAGCCTGAGAGAAACCTCCTTTATTAGGAAAAATATTAAAATAAAAATACCCTAAAAAACGACACACAGCTGGGCTTGCAGCAGATGCACACAATAACTGATTAGGAGCTCCTGGCGGTTTAACAGCCTCGAGGGCTGTTACATATAGTTGGTGCGTCTGGCGGAGGTCCTTGCTAGTCCTCCCGCAGTGAGGACGGGGGTCCACATTGCCCTGCGCAGACAGAACTTTCTCAAAGAAGCCACTCGGTAAGTTCAGCTCACAATGTGCGTACCTCATGTTTCAACTGTTTGTAAAAGTCACCGTCCAGCAGAAATGAGATGGAAGTAAGGGGAAGGCATTCGTGCCAAGAGTACTGGGAGCAATAAACAGCTTTTGAGGCGGGTTCCAGGCAGGAGTAAAGCTGACAGGTTTGCTAACAGCTAAAGCCTTTCAATTGCCTCCGATTCTCTGCTGCTCTAACAGCATCCTCATTATGTGACAAAAAAAGCAGTGGCAGCTTCAGGAGAGGGGACATGACCATGTGCTTCTCATGCCTTGGAGGCTGGTGCTGTTGGTTTACTGAGTTTTCCACTGACTCCAAATGACTGAAATAGGTGGACAACTGGTCAAAACTGGGTTTAAATTTTACTATTGAAAGAGGAAGCCTAGGATTAAAAATGAGATCGCTCCCTTGTTATTAAAAAACACACAAAGGATTCATTTTTGCGTTATTTTGGTTTTAAGAGAAGAGCTTGTCAAGGCTACGAGAGTTCAGTAATTTAGGATAAACCATTACTGCCTTGTCTGCAAGGGTTTTGTTGTTGTTTTAATGGCAAAAGTTAGAGTTCCGTGCACATGTAGAAAATGCACTAACCTTCCTTTTGTAGGCAGGTTTTGGAGAAATATTTCAAAAGAGACAACTTCAAAGAAGAGTTTCTGACTGCAGCAACAGAATGTTCTACACTTTCCTTTAAAAAAGTGACTTTTTACTGTTTTTAACACACAAGAGGCTACACCTGCTGACATGCTGTAGCGAAACCAGCACTAAGCATATGCAATTAAATAGAAGTGAAGAACTACACTGTATTAGTTCCTATCGTTAAAAAGTAAACGAAGGTTTCTAAGTGGAAAGTCTGCGGTTGCCCTGAGACAGCCCAGAGCTTATTCTCCACAGGAGAAAAGGGCACAGGTGGTCTTCTGACTCCCAGGTCGCGCAAGGCTAACTGCCACGGTCTTATGAATAATGAAGGACTTCTATCAAAATGTTTGGTCAAAGGACAAGAGTTTTGTTTTCTGGTCTGAAGGAAGGATGCAGTGGTTTGATTGGCACAGAAAGGAGTTGGGAGGGAGGGGCCTGGAGGAAGTGCCAGCAGCTGAGCTGGGCCAGTGCTGCGCCTCTTGTACACAGTTTGTTAGAAAATGGGATCGAGCCTTTGAGAAAACCTTGTGCGCACCTTGTCTGTGAACAGCTTGATGATTGTTTAAGAATACTCTGGCCCGAGTTAATTCACAGCAATTGCTCCCTGCTCTGCATGTTGAAATTACATTCAGAGATTTAAAAAAAAAATCATGTGTGTGGCAATATTTTCCCACAAAACTAAGTTCAAAGTATCTTCAACAAATAATGATGGTAGTAGGAAATATCTGACATAGTCATGCAAAAACGCATCTCAGTTTACAAAGGCTTACATTTCCCAAATATTTCCTAGGTTGTCACACTGGACCGTACAATCTTACTCATCTTTCTTTGCAGTTGAATGTGACTGTTTGTGTAAAAAACGGTAGCATGCAAGTTCTATTATCTCCAGCCCACCAAATATTCTCTCTTGCAATACAAAGATGACAATGGTGATTATAAAATACCATCGAACAAGACTGTACAAATACACGAGTAGGCACATGGCAGGGCTGAACAGGGTCCAATACAGTATAGAGAGAAATTTGACCACGAGGACCCTGAGCTCAGACTTGCATGGAGGGATGACAGGCTGCCCGGTGAAGCTGAAATTCTTCTCCCCTTGGTAGAAGGAGCGCAGCCTCTCCTCCTTCTCCTCCCACCGCTTGTGGCACCAGAGCTGCAGGTCCTCCTTGGATGCGGGCAGGGTGTCTGCTGGGTAGCGGTGCACGTGGAAGTGGATCTCCCTGGGGAAGTCCCCCTGCAGGAGGTGCCTCTCCGTCTGAGGGATGTTGTGAGGGTATGCCACCGTGATGTCGTGGACAGCGTCAAGGTTCTTCCCTAGGTGTGGAAAGATGGAAGCATAGGTCGAGTTAGATAATTGGGCAGCAATACTGACTCACAATGCAAGGCAGCACCAAAACCTGAAAAACAATCAGAACAGAGTGAACCGTGAGGAACAAACAGGGCTATAAATACTGGCGTTCCAGGCAATCGGGTCAATATTTACCAGTCATTTTGGTTTTAGAGAGAAATGATCTTCATTCGTGGAAACAGTAACCTACATCCTAGAACTAAAAAGGTAAGCACAGAAGTCAGGTTTGAGACAAATGAAAAGGCACAGGACCAGCCCTCTTATAGGATTCACTGCTTTGATGCCTCCTATTAATACACCCTTCTCTCCAAATACACCACAAATTGTCCACCTTTAACCCAATATTACCATGACAGCTACTGCACAGAAAAACTCAGAATCAGACTTGATAAAATGCCAGAAACCGATTCGGAACCAAGATGGCGGCATAGGTAAACACCGGAGTTAGCTGCCTCGAACAACCACTTCACAAATACAAGTAAAAGACGGAACGGACATCACCCAGAACCACAGGAAAGCTGGCTGAGGGGAAATTCTTCAACTAGAAGGAAAGAGAACAGCATACGAGACTCAGGGGAGGCGCAGTGCGGAAAATATAAAGGTGCGGAGGTACGCGCGGAGCCGGCTGGTAGCTGAGGGCGCGGTTGTCCGTTTCAATCGGGAGGAAGTCTCAGATTCTGAGCTCTAGTTCTGGGCGAGTCTCTAGGGACCCAGACTCAAAAGGGAGAAGCCGGACTGTCTAGCATCGGTCGGAACGCGAGGGCAGCTTTCTCTCCGAGGTTTGCAGCGGTTGCTGGGACTCTGAGAGGCAGAGCCTCTGGGGACGGGACTGAGAGCAGCCATAACTGCTCCCTCCACCCGCCCTGTTTGATCCCGTGCGACCTGCCCCGCCCAAGCCCTGCGCAGAGCCATTTGCCAGATAGCCTCAGGCACCTCCCTAGAGGACAGAAGTTTTCCCACTGCAGACACAGCTGACTTTCACAGCCAGTTGGCCTGGAGGTCAAATCCCCCTAGTATTAACTACAACAATCAAGGCTTAACTACAACAAGACTGCGCACAAAGACCACTAGGGGATGCACCAAGAAAGCATAAAAAATGCGGAGACAAAGAAACAGGACAAAACTGTCAATGGAGGATATTGAGTTCAGAACCACACTTTTAAGGTCTCTCAAGAACTGTCTAGAAGCCGCTGATAAAGTTACTGAGATCCTCAAGAAATCTAACGAGACCCTCGATGTTATGATAAAGAACCAACTAGAAATTAAGCATACATGGGCTGAAATAACGAATATTATACAGACTCCCAACAGCAGACCAGAGGAGCGCAAGAATCAAGGCAAAGATTTGAAATGCGAAGAAGCAAAAAACACCCAACTGGAAAAGCAAAATGAAAAGAGAATCCGAAAATACGAAGATAGTGTAAGGAGCCTCTGGGACAGCTTCAAGCGTACCAACATCAGAATTATAGGGGTGCCAGAAGATGAGAGAGACCAAGATATTGAAAACCTATTTGAAGAAATAATGACAGAAAACTTCCCCTACCTGGTGAAAGAAATAGACTTACAAGTCCAGGAAGCACAGAGAACCCCAAACAAAAGGAATCCAAAGAGGACCACACCAAGACACATCATAATTAAAATGCCAAGAGCAAAAGACAAAGAGAGAATCTTAAAAGCAGCAAGAGAAAGAAACTCAGTTACCTACAAGGGAATACCCATACGACTGTCAGCTGATTTCTCAACAGAAACTTTGCAGGCCAGAAGGGAGTGGCAAGAAATATTCAAAGTGATGAATGCCAAGAACCTACAACCAAGATTACTTTATCCAGCAAAGCTATCATTCAGAATTGAAGGTCAGATAAAGAGCTTCACAGATAAAGAAAAGCTAAAGGAGTTCATCACCACCAAACCAGGATTATATGAAATGCTGAAAGGTATCCTTTAAGAAGAGGAAGAAGAAAAAGGTAAAGATACTAATTATGAACAATAAATATGCATCTATCAACAAGTGAATCTAAGAATCAAGTGAATAAATAATCTGATGAACAGAATGAACTGGTGATTATAATAGAATCAGGGACATAGAAAGGGAATGGACTCACTATTCTTGGTGGGGAAAGGGGTGTGGGAGATGCGGGAAGAGACTGGACAAAAATTGTGCACCTAGGGATGAGGACAGTGGGGGGGTAAGGGCAGAGGGTGGGGTGGGAACTGGGTGGAGGGGAGCTATGGGGGGAAAAAAAAGAGGAACAAATGTAATAATCTGAACAATAAAGATTTACTAAAATAAAAAAAAATGCCAGAAACCCATGAAAACTTCCATATGATTTTTTTTTTATTTTAAAAAACTTATCAACTTGAAGTCCTAGTAAGACTGTGACCCAATATTACCATCAATCTTAGCACTCTCGTGAATTTTTCTGGGGTTGTTTTCAGCAAAGTCATATGTTAGATGCTAGAGATAAAGAGATAAGTAAAACATGGGCCTTAACCTTACTCATGAGTTTACAACAGAACTAGGGAGACAGGCATGCGTACTGCCCTAAACAGACCAGAGTGCATCTGTAAGGGGGGAGGGAACAGGTGAGGCAGTTGGAGGGGGCAGGGTGAACCTCTGGCAGAGAGCAGGGTGGGGCTGTGGCACTAAGAGCAGGCTGGAGGTGGGCAGTAAAGGCCCTCATTGTCAAACTTGGGAATTGGAACTGAGTTCTGCAGGTGGGAGAAACACTCAAGTGGTGGAGAACCACTTCAGGATTTTTAACAGGAAAAGATCCATGGTTTCATTTTAGCAAGAATTACCTTGAGGGCAATGAAAGAATGATTTGGAGAGGACCAAGAGCAAGAGAGGTAGGAAGAGTATTTGATGGTCATTGTAAGACAGGAAAGACAAGAAATAGAAGGTAGAGGCCAAAGGAAGTGACATGTCTGACAAAGTTACAAGGAAGAACTGATGTTACAGAGTGAAAAGGTGGATGGAGCCCAGGTTTCTTGCTGGCCCAGGGGATCAAATGGATGGTGGGGCCTTTGAGATTACAAATGTATGCAGAGTGTAAGATCTTTAAGGAATCATGAGGATCACCTAATCGAACACTGCAGGCAGGGCCCAGAGAGGTTAAGTGTTTTGGCCAAGGGCACACAGAGTGTTGGTGCAGTGTCTGAATGTCGTTTTGTTCTGTTCCATATTATTGTCAGTGATAGACTTTTGATGTGGACTTTGATTCATTAAAGAACTATATGAGGCAGGAAAAATTAATCCATGGTACCGTAGTGGGCTGTGGGCACTGATTGAAAGGGGGTCATGAGGTAATATTCTGGGTGGCAGAAACATTCTATATCTAGATTAGGTATGCATTACATCAAATTGTACATTTAAATTTCAATGTACAATTTCACTCTATTTAAATTTCTTTAAATATTAATAATAATAAAGAGATGCAGCAACTTCCCCATCATCTCCCACCATGCTACCCTTTCTACTGAACTTGTTAGGTTGTGCTCATTTTATTTTAGTGTTTCTTTACGTCTTCTGTCAATGTTTACTGACCATCCTATTTACTTAAGGGTAAGGACTGGGTTTCAATTTGGTGTCAAAACTCTCTTATAAAGATAATCAGATAATAAGGGCTTTGTTATAAAAAGTGAAAATAACTGCACAGACTTCGAACAAAATTAAATGTTCATCATTGGAAACTAGAGGAAAAGCAGAAGGAAAACAGAGGGTCAGGAGGCACTAATGGTCAAGTCCAAGGAGCTAAAAAAACAACAAAACACATAACATTCATGCCCATGGAGGCCCCTAATTCAGGATGTTTATTTACAATCTGTTTGTTTCTGGTGACACTGAACTTTTGATAAAAGAGAACAGCACATTTAATATGTTGAAATATTTGGAATGAAAATTGATTCCTAAACCCAAGGAACACAGAATGTACTAACTCTAAGCTCAATATTATAATATAAAACAGAATCAGTGTATTGTTTTCTATGATAGCCTGTTACAGCACTTGTGATACTCTAAAATTTAGCAAAGTGACATCAGATGTAGGTTTACAGGACCATTCAGACAGCAAGGTCTTACATACTGGGGAGATCTATGACTATAAAGATGACTTTAATATTTCTAATCCTCTGATGTTAAAAACAATTTCCACCAGACATTGATACACAAGTGGATAAATCACATGAAATTAAATCAGTCTGTACTTGGAGAGCTATCTTAATCAGAAAGAGATTTAATGAAAAGCCTCAGCTTAGAAGAATACCCTAATTATTACAGGCTAATATTTGTCCACAAAGAAGGATTTGTTTCAGGATTAGTCAGAGACCAGGAGAAGCCAGAGACACCAATTCAATAATGGAATGCCTAATTAAATGATAATGGAATCCTAATGATAATGTATTGCTTTCCCCTGCACATGATTTATTTACCACAACTGCTTTTCACTTGGTTCATTACGGAAAACTAAATAAAATGCAATTACTAAAAATAAACTGGGAAAGAAAAAAGAATTGGTAAATTAGACCTCTTTTTTAACATGGAGAAATTCAGATGTAACAAAAAGGCTGTTAGAAAACAGTCCTGCTGCAGAAGACACAGCAGTTCTATAAGAGAGATCTAAGTAATCTGTATTCGTATTCGTGTGCATTGTTTTAGTTTTTGGTTGTGAGTCGAGTGAAACCTGTAAAGTATTTTTAAATTTTAAGTGCTTTGTGGTGGCACTTAGCTTTCCTTAATTCTCACATATAAATCTAGAACTTTTAGGTCTTTTCTTTATCTTAAAATGCAAAGAATTTATACTATATGAGAATCCATTATCTTTCTTTTCTTTTTTAACTTTTGCTTTGAAATAATTTCAGGTTTACAAAAAATGTTGCAAAGTACTAAAAAGACTTCCAGTAAACTTCACGCACTTCTAGCATCTTATACAACCACTAGAGGCCCGATGCACAAAATTCATGCATGGGG